TCGGGCCATCCTCTGATCTCCCCTTAGGGACCCGACTGTTCTATTATCCCTCTCAAACTTGAGCAACATAAGAGATGGGATTATAACAGCCTTGGAATTATTCAGGGTTGGTCGTCCCAGAATCATGTTGTAGGCCGAGAGTTCTTCTACTACCAGGAACCGGACTACCATGTGTCGTCCTTCTCCTTTTTCGCCCAGGCGGATGGGTAAATCCACTCGTCCCACTGGGTGGACGACTCCTCCTCCAAACCCTACTAAAGGGTGGGATGCCGGATGTATGCAATCAGTCTTATATTTTAGTTTCGACAGACATTTGCTACTGATGAGATCTGAGGAGCTTCCGGTATCTATGAGGATTCGGCCAACTCTCTGGTTGGCCACTTTACATTCAATAACGATAGGGTCGTCATGCGGCCCTCTTACCCCTCCTAGATCTTCTTTAGTGATGACAATCTCAGGAAATGAATATTTGGAGGGCCGTTCTTGGTGAACGGAATTTACATCTAACCGTCTGATATTGTCTTTGTTGCCCCTAATAGTGGGGACGCCTCCTGAGAAGCCGCCTGCAATGGTGTAGACGACTGCATCATCTGTATCGGAGCTGTCGGCCTGTTGATTCTTTTTGGTCGACTGCTTTTTTGAGGAAGTGTTCCCCGTAGATTTCTTGACATAAGTGTCAAGATCACCTTGCTCAGCCAGGCGGTCCAGATACCGCATGAGACTGATGCATTCATTGGTGTGATGACCAACATCTTCATGATAAGCACAAAATTTTTCTTGGTTCCGGTTGTTTGCAGAACCCTTCATGGGGACCGGCTTCTCAATTGAGATCCGTCCCTTGATTTCCTTTAGGATAAACTGGCTATCCTTGTTAAACGCATACTTTGGGGAGTATGGTTTGAATTCTTTTTTCTTTTTCTGGGCCGGCTGTTTAGAGGAATCAGCCGCCCAAACCTCTTTTCTCTTCTCGTCTTTATTTAACGACTGTTTCTGTCGTCCTTCTCTTTTGTCGGACCTTTTCCCGTCCGACTGTTTTACCGTACTACAAAGATCAGTCGCCTGTATATAGGCTTCCGCTTCAATCAAGGCCTCTTGAAGAGTCGCCACCCTCTTTCGGACCAAATCAAATTTGAAGGTCGACCCGTCTTTGAGACCTCTGAAAAAGTCAGTATAGGCTACTTCATCCGGTAACCCTTGAATCTGTATTCTCATCAGGTTAAACCGCCTGATGTAAGAACGAAGCCCCTCCTTCTCGCCCTGCTGAATTGTTCCTAAATCAAGGGTCGTCTTCTTCGCAGGGATGTTCATGGCGAAGTTGGAGGTGAATAAGTAAGCAAGCGTCTTGAAGTTATTTACACAACCAGTCGGCAGGTTGCCGAACCATTGTTGTGCGATTCCTTTGAGAGTCGCTGGGAAACACTTGCACCAAGTGGGATCATCCAACCCTTGAAGGTACATCAGGTTGGTGAATGCCATCAGATGGTCTTCTGGGTTAGTAGTGCCGTCATAGGCGCCTACTAATACATTTTTCACTTTGGCCGGCTGAGCGGCTTCAGTAATTTCCTTGGAGAAGGCCGACGGCTGTTCACCAAGTCTAAGCAACCGTAGCTGCCAGTCCATAGGTTGGACATTTTTTGCTGCATGTCCACCAAACGGAGGTGGCTGTAAAAAATACTGTTGTTGCGGTACAAACGGTAAGTTTGGTACCGCCTGGTCGCTATGAAAGCCGGACTGACGGGAGGTGCCGCCTGACTGACTCTCACGATACGATTGAGTATGCCTCATTGAGGTATTTCGCAGACTGTCTTGGAAGTTTGAAGTAGAGGCCGACTCTGACAATCGGCTACTCTTCTTCTGCTCTAGCAGTAGCCGAGCGTCTGTGTATGTTTTCCTCGACCCGTCCGCCTGAATATGACGAACAGGTTTCCTATTTCCTGGAGTAGGAAAACGGTATTTTGTGAAATCAAGGGCAGGTGGCTCCCACTTCCTAGATTTAGGATGAGGGGTCGCCTCTCGCCCTTGAACTGGTTTCCTCTTCAGTGAAGTGGAGGGTTTCTTAGCCGACTGCTCCTTGTCCAGAGCAGGCGGCTTCTTGTTGATCAACTCTTGAATTTCTCCCTTGAAGTCCCTCATGAAGGTCATGAGTTCGTTCCTTGTGATGGGAGAAGACCCATCAGTCGGCTGCTGCCGAACAGGCGGTGCGCCTGCTGGCTCACTTCCAGTTTGAAGATGTTCCCGTTCCCTCCTTTCGGTATGACGGGTACGTCGGGCCCTTAGGGTCCCGTCTGAAGCTGTGTGAGCTTCAACTTCAAATTCATTCTCAGAATCGTGGTCCGATTGAACTTGAGGGTCGTCTAGGGGACGCCTCTCTTCAGGAGTCGGTACAGACGTGGATACCATCTCAGAAGTACTCTCCCCACAGACGGCGCCAAATGTTTCGGGGTTTTCTGATGTCCTGCGGGAGAGTTACAATTCCGAGACTGGAACCGGACGCCTGTACCTGCAAAACAAACGGATGCTCCGGATGATTGGAGATCCGCCTCCGACGGTCAAGTTAGTACTTGATTAAGGAGTAATTAATGCGGAAATTAAAGTGATTGGGTCTCTCTAGGTGAGAGTGTTTAATATGTGTAATCTGCGTTTTTAGCGTGTTCTCTCTCCCTTAATGAGGATTAAGGGAGGTATTTATAACCTCGGGAAACGTGTCAATCTAGGTTTAGGTTAACCTTGGGCTGATTGGGCTTCCCTCGGAAGTTGAGCCTAGGTGACCGGTTATCCCAGGTGTCATGGGAAGGACATGTGTCGTGTCGTAATTGGTCCATGGTGGACGGATCATTGCTTGACACGTGGCAGGCTCCTATTGGCCCATGTGACGGACACATGGCGGAACCTGATTGGTCCACTTGTCAGATGGTGACTGGTGGGGAAAAATCCCCTAATCAAATAGCATACCTTTGAAAGAGTTATGTTTGTGATATGCTCTGTCTAAATCATCTTTAATCTTGCTGTTTCAGATCTATATTCCTAATTTTGTTGAGAATCACTGCATTTTGTTTGTTGTTTGATCATACAAAAGAGTTGGTATATTATCTTGACAACATTATCTAGCATGATTCTAGTCTTGAATATTTTAAAGATTTGTCTTCACAAATGATATGTTTCTGTTGATTTATTATTTCATTTTAACCTTTTTTTTGTATTTAATGTATTCTAAACTTTTATATTTTATGTCAAATTGGGTTCTTTTCTTGGCAAAAAAATCATCCAAAGAGTTCTCAGCTCCCTTCTTATGAGTTTCAAATTGTTGAGTTGGAATGTAGAAAAGATAAAGTTGACAACTTGGACTGTGGGGTGTTTGTCATGCATCACATGCTCCAATTTTTTGGCGAACCATTCAAATTAAATGAACTCAAAACAGTAATTATTCATCTACTTTGTCTGTAGTTTTTCCCTTTCTAATGTTTTTATTAATTACATATTGATAACTTTTTTTCTGTTGTGAGGTTGTTGGAAGAAAATTTCTGTGAGGACAGATATGTACCACACTTGTACTGTGTGATTTGAATGAATCTAGGAATGATGTGTTGTCAAAATTAGCCAAGTTCAACGAGAAGAAGAAAGATGCTGCTTACGTACGTCCAGGAAATTGAATTAAGAAGAAAGGATGCTATTGCTGAGAAGAAGAAGAAAGAAAATGATGAAAGAAGAAAAGCAGCAGAAGCAACAGCAAAGGCAGAGGCAAAAGCAGAAAAGCCCAAAGAAAAAGGGCAAAAAAGCAGACAAAAAAGTACATTTCTTTTAAAGAGTGAAATGGTTGTTGGTTATTAGGTCTAGGAGTATTTTTTGAACAATGAAAAAACTTAATGTATGTGCATATACATCGAGTTCAATGATGTAAATAAACTTATTGTATAGTTTTTGGTTGGTTTTTTGGAATACTGATGTATGTGCATACATTAAGTAATTTGAAATGTTCTTTTGTATGTTTTTTATGGGGTCACTTTTGTGCATAAAATGGTGATCTTTGTAGCATAAAAAGGGTTACTTTTGTGGGTAGAAAGAATAAGTTTGTACACGAACCGGGATACTTTTGTTAGTAGATAGGGTAATTTTTATGCATGAAAAAGGTAACTTTTATTGATAGAAAGGGTAACTTTTATACATGAAAAGAATACATTTAGTGGGTAGAAAGGGTAACTTTATGTATGAAAAGGGTAACTTTTATGGATAGAAAGGGTAACTTGATGTATGAAAAGGGTAACTTTTATGCATGAAAAGGTTAACTTTTGTCCATAAAAAGGGTAACTTTTATGGATAATAAGGGTAACATAAGTTCATGTTTCCACAAATTAAACGTGTGCTAATAATAGTATCAATCAAATTTTAATCAAACTAGTCATAGGGTAAAAAAATAATATAACAATACAAAGTATATTAATTTTGAAAAAAAAAAAGTTCTAAAAAAGTTCCTAAAAGAGTCATAAGTTAGATGTCTTAGATCCAAATTCTGAATGTGGAGGTGGTAGTGTTGGTTTTCTTTTTCTCTTGCTTTTTTCAAGACCTCCTTTTGCTCTCTTGCTTCTTTCTTTTGTTACAGCCCTTTTAGGATCAAGTATTGTTGGTACACTTTTGCTTGTACTCGATGCTGAAGAAACATCATTATTGCTTTGAGTATTGTATGGCACATCAGGAATGTTAGAAGCAGCTTTTGCACTTTCTCTCTGAGCATCATTAGCAAGTAAGTCTTCCACCATTTTAAGGCTGTTTCTGAAGCTTTCTTCCATAAATGCTCTTGTTTCTTCATTTTCTTGACTTTTTAAGATTAAATTGTAGTATTTCCTTATCATTGTTTGCCTCCATGGAATATATTGCTGTGTAGGATCCTGATTCTTCAACCTATCTCATGCCTCTGTTTTTGCAAACTTAGTCCATCTTTTTGACACATACTTGTCTGATATTCTTGTTACTAGATGCAAATGTAGAATTCTGATGCAATGGTATATCCTTTATATATCCTTTATTCCATTAAAAAATTAATCTTATCAATGTTAAAAGGATCCTTTAGAAGGTCCAGATCTAGCTCGAGATTATAGCACCTAATTAAGTAACATAATAAAATCATACAAAAACTCATACATAAAGATATTCTAACTAAATACAGAAATTATAATCAAAATACAAACCCAAGTAGTAAGAACCTCTTGAACTGGTTTTATCATGGTATTTCGGGTTCACAAAATCAGTCACATAAAAATTCTTGACGGCAGGGCAGCTGCAGCAGCAACCTTGGCAGGACAGCAGAAGCTGCAACATTGCCAAGTTAGCTTCACTAGTCCCTCATTCCAAGTAGAATTCCATTATACAACCTACATTTGAAATTGAATGTAGAATTCCACTATGCAACCTACATAAGCAATCACAATCAAAACCCACAACCAAAACCCAGAAAACTCGATGCAAAAAAAAAAAAAAAAAAAAAAAAAAGAAAAAAAGGTATCACATACAAGCAATACAGATCCAAAATCAGCAAAAAGATTGAGTGAAATTCAGCTAGACATTTTATCGAACAATTAGAAGATATGCCCAAAAAAAACAGGGAAATACAAATAGCAGCCTGTACGTAATTGAATACATGTGTAAAAATTTACCTACTGATTTAGAATATATTGATGCATGTGTAAAAAATTTGCAAATTAAACTAATTAAATGCATGAGCTGAACCTGTGAGCATAATCAAAATCGAAATTAACCGTCTGCAACACAACCAATCCAAACAAATAAATAAAATTGAAATTAACCTTTTTAAACTTTGCTCAATTTGATTTGGAAATTTCTAGCTACTTATGAAACCAATAGATCGAAAATAGAAGAAATGAGATTGAAAATGAATGTAAACATCCAAAAAATTGAAGCGCTTTCATCAAACGTAAAACGAAATAAATGAGGTGAAACTCTAAAATTGAATTATAAGTTAATTATTACACATCAAAAAATGATGCAGAAAAATTGTCTAGAGATTACTTACATGCTTCTCCTAGTGTTCATAAGTGACCTCTAGTTCTCCTGCTTTAGTGGCAGCCCAAATCTGCATATTGAAAAGTGTACAGAATTGCTTAGAATGTAACGGAAAAAAAAAACTTAAAATGCTACAAGAACTGTCATATTTACATATTACTTTACTAAAACCTAAGAGCTAGAGTAAAGTATATCTACCTTAAATGTCTGGTTCAAAGAGCAGGAAAGCAGAAATTGCTCCCAACAAAGCACGGACATCACAACCTCAGAGTGCTTAGCAAGGGTGTGGAGGCATTGCATAGTCTCCAGGTCCCAAACCTTTACTGTGTTATCCATTGAACCAGAATAAAGTCTTTTAGCCCCATAAATTAATGAAACTACCGCCAAATTATTCTACTAGAATGACAACCATCAATAATCAAATCGGAGAGCAACATAAACACAAATAGCTAAATAAAATTCAAAAACCCTTTCATGTCACCATTAAATTCAATCAAACTTTCAATTGTTCATCATTAATAAAAAAAAAAGTAAATAAAAATCAAAACTCTAGATTCAAATCGACGAGCACATACCTCGTGAAGAGATCAACCACCATTGCAAAGATCAACCACCATACCAGCTTGATTATGTGAAGAAATAGACCCTCCATTACGATGGTGCGAGAACCGTCACCACCGATAACATTCACCACCGACAACGAAGAAAGACAGTGAAAGAAAGAAAGATCTGAACGGAGAGGAAAAAAAGTGAGAAGGAAAGAGAAGAATAAAATAGAGAGTGGCGCAGCGAGAGTGGTGTAGAGAAGAAAAAGAGAGGAAAGGGGGAGAAATAAGAGAATATCTGAACGGAGAGGAGAGAGAGAGCGAGGAGGAAAGAGAGAAATAAGAGGGGCGAGTTTTTTTTATTAAAGCCACCGGTTTTGAACCGTCGGGATTAATATTTTCCCCACCGATTCGGTGTGAACTGGTGGCAATTTCCTTCCTTCTAAATCCCGCCCATTTTTCCCCTTTTTTTCCTGCCGGAACAGGTGGCCAATCCTCGGTGCCAATTATCATTTTTCTACTAGTGTAACATAACCATCCAGATGCTTCAAAATTTTTGCATGTACACTGTACACTTTGGCTCTCATGTATATAGTTTACTTGATGTGCAGACCATGACTTGTCTTCTAGGGTTACTTGATAAAGTAAGCATTCTTCAGTTCTCCCTATCATTTGAATAGTTGTTGTCATAGAGTATCCAAACTCTTCTTCAAAATCTTTACTGAGTGACAAAGTGAAAACCTGTTCAACAAAATCATGTAGCGAGCTACATTTAAACTACTATATATTATGTATAATTTATGAAATTTTTAGTTAACTTTTTACCTGTGCAGCATGCTTTAGAATTCCGGACAGTGGCAATGAAGTAAATGTCATTAACTTGCTACAAGTAAACTCATCATATTTCTCTGTGCTTCTCCAACGATTGGTTATCTTCTTAAATATGGTATAAAATTCTGTCAATGTAGTTGCTTTACTTGCTTTGAATCCTGCAGCATGATTAGTTCTTTCACTCCTTTGTAACGACAAGATTCTTGTTGAAAATAAATCTCTACTAAGGGCAGGACACCATTTCTCTTTCAACTCGTACACTCTTTTGTACCAAGAGTGTGTTGTCAAGTCATATTTTTGCATCATTGCCTGCCACCTTTCTTCAAATTCTTGTTCTGTCACACACAACTTTAAGCACTGGTTGAATGCATACTTGAATTCTTTGTCTTTTTTAAGATCCCAAATATGGTTATTGCATTTTGTTCAAATGCCAAATACAAAGTCTATGCCTTGTATTAGGAAGCACCTACATTGAAAATAAAAGGGCCTCTTTATGCGGTTAAAAGGGTCACTTCATGCATTAAAAAGGGCCACTTTATGCTATTAAAAGGGTTACTTTATACATTATTGTCCGAGCTTAAAATTTGCAAGATGTCAATATAAATCTTTTACCTGCTTAGTTGCATTTGCCATTGCTTGGTCCTGGTCAGTGAATGTTGAAGTTGGTGTTCTATTCTCTATAGCTTTCAAGAAGGTTTCTAGTAGCCACACAAATTATTCTGTTTTTTCATCCCAAATAAAAGCACATGCAAACATACAATTATGCCAGTGATTATTTATGCCAACAAATGGAGCACATATAAGATTATATCTATTGGTTCTGTATGTTGTATCAAAGACAAGCACATCTCCATGTATCCTCAGCAGCTTTCTGTGCTCGATAAAATTTTCCAGTTTCGCGCAGCATTATTTCGATCCTAGTTGTGAAAGATATTTCTCAAATTTCCTACGTGTAAAAATCCTATGTTTTAACTCATTACGGAGGGTCTTTCCAATGAGATCTTTTTTATGCATATGACAATAATGTTAATTAACGCAATTGAAATACTTAGAACTTTTCGAATCTCATCCACTCATTCTAAATCATTGCCGAAATATATTTCAGGAATTAAAATAGAAATCCTCCCTAGTGGAGTCGCCAAAAACTGTAGGGAATATTTCAAGCATTATCCCTAGCTTGAACCCCACTGTGATCATACACTAAAGTACGGTGGCGTCCAAAGGGAAAGAATATAGAGCAAAAGAGTCGCCAACAAGTTTTAGGAACTTGTAAACCGTTCACGAGGTGAACGTTACACCCCTTAACGATCCATGAAATCGTCAACTCCAATAGGTCTGGAACCATGACTGGTAGTTCGAGGATGACGGTACAAATCCAACCTAAAAGAGATTGAACCTGCCCTAATAATTGGACTCTACTTTATTCTGATCATATTCATGTGCTCTTTCTGACTAACACGCAATCAATAGGATTAACCCTAAACCTGTTTATCTATGTTGGTTGAATATTAATGCACAAATAAATTTATTATTGGCAATCACTTGAATTATAATCAAATTAACCCTAAACAAGATTATTAATTATCTTATTAAGCGTGATTACAAGTATAAATTCCCTTAAAGCATGCATAAAAGCTGTGATCAAGCAATAACAATAAATAAGCATCAAGCAACATAATAATACGAATCATCATAATAATAATAACAATAACAATTATTATAACAATTATTAAAATATTCATGATCATGTTAAAGCATAATAATAGCAAGATCCTAGGCATGATACTAACAAGATTAATAACCAACCCTAGCATGTCACTAATTGACATTATATTCTTTACCCTAACATGATACTAACAAAAATATTAGGAAAGAAAATAGGAAGCATCACAGAAATCATAATTGACATTATATTCTTTACCCTAAACATGATACTAGGAAGATCAAAACACCCTAACATAACAATAGGAATCATAATAACAACCTAAGCATGATTTCTATATCATAATAACAATGTAAACAATTAAAGCACTTACTTGGATGCCTCGTACCTCTTTCTAATAACAAAATACACGCGTTAGTAACTTCAAGGAAAATAATAATCAAAGAATTAAATTAAAATAATAATTGAAAGAGAGATTTGGGACCAAACGCTCATAAATTAAAAACCTTTCACGTCTAGGGCGAAGGCAACTTCGAATTATGCTAGGTGTACCTAGGTCTTGTGAATGCGGAATTTTGTGTAAAGGGTGGTTTAGAAAGGAGAGAAAAGAAAGCTTCTAGCTTTGAGAGAGAAAAGAATTAGAGAACTAAGGAATTGATGATTGTAGATGATTCAAAACAGAGTTTTTAGGAGGCTATTTATAGAGAAAATCAGCCAAAAAGATAGAAAATCGAACCAGAGTTCTGACGTGAAAAAACGGAGTTAGAGCCAGACGCTGACATTAGCGCCAGACGCTAACGCTAGCGCCAGGCACTAATGCTGGCGTTAGGCGCTAATAAATTTTTTGACACGTTTTTCTAAAATCAGATAGAATTTAACCGTACAGGAGGATAAAATTGTATTTTCCTCCAAAACACTCTTTTATTCTGATTAAAATTCCAGAAAGTTAACAAAAGTCAATTTATCAATGCTAATTGAATTAGGAATGAAAAGAACCTTCTAGAAGAATCTAGAAGACTAAAACCATTCCTAATTGCATTAGAAATGATAAATCCATATCAGGCCCTCCCCTAGATCATTGTGCCGCATATAAGGCTCAAACCGGGCCTAGTTTAGTAATTTGGCCATAACTACCTCAATATTCATCGGAATTGGGCTTATAATATATCGTTGGAAAGATCTTTTCAAGCCTTATCTAACTACACTATTAATGGACCCATATCATGGACCAAACAAACTGTATTGGCTGTTTTCTTAAAATAGGTATTCAAAAACAGAGAGAAAAGAAAAGAAATTAAAACTATCCGCAACCACTAGACTTTCCACACTTTCACTTCATTCGATTATGATTCGACGTGAAAGGTACTCATCACCGGGTTTGGTTTTGGGGAGACACAAATGGGTGTCTACAGGATCCTCTAATTGTTCTTGATTTAAAATGTTCACTAATGTTTGAGCATCTCCAGCCTCAATTTATTCCATTCTTAACCTTGAGCAGAAATTCAGGTGATCTATAACACTATGACCTACATTCTGTTCTTACTCCATCCTTTGTAGCCATGTAATTGTAAGTGTCCATTGTAGTTAGACCTGAAGAATTCATTGTTTTGATTTCTTTAGCTTTTTCTTCTGTAATTTTTCTGTCAGAACGATGTAAATAATGCCACTGTGACCTTGTTAGATCGTGGTTATGCTGAATAACATGAGCCACCACCTCAAACTGTCCTTCTTTATTCACTTTTGCTCTTATGCATGCCTTGCAATTCGATCTTATAATGGTTACTTGTCTTGGCTTCCTTGTTTTTACATTTACATCCTCTTCATCAACCATTTCAACTAACTTTGTTTTCTTGTCACCTGAATTTCTCTTTCCTTCAACTGAACACACATAATTTTTCTCACTTACTATCTTGGTGTGTGTGATGTATCTAGTTGTATGCTTTCTTATTGAAAACCCTAGTATAGCAGCATGTTTTTTCATATAATTCCAAAATTTCTTCAAATGTTTCTCTTACCACACCAACAAATGATCCTCTAAGATCTAAACTAGAAGCATCAATTGGATTTGCATCTGTGATTTAATACAGACATATGAGATAATGACCAGAGGCAGCATATCATTCAAATTGGAGGGGAGTAATACTATGTTTTATATGGGTCACTTTTATCCATAAAATGGGTAACATTTGTGCATACAAAGGTTATGTTTTTGCATAAAAAGGGTAACATCTGTGCGTACATAGGGTCACTTTTATGCATGAAAAGGGTAACATTTTTGCATTCAAAGGGTTACTTTTTGCATTAAATGTGAATTTTCTCTAGACTAATTTACATTCATATCAATGTTGCATTCATATCAATGTAGCATTCATATAGTTCATATCAAAAATAACAATTCCAAAATTTCAAATGTAACATTGATATGAATGTAAAAAGGGTAACATCTATGCATACAAAAGGGTAACATTTGTGCGTAGATAGGGTCCCTTTTATGCATGAAAAGGGTAATATTTATGAATTCAAAGAGTTACTATTTGCATACAATTTGAATATTCTCTAGACTAATTTACATTCATATAAGTAACATTCATATCAATGTTGCATTCATATAGTTCATATTAAAAATAACAATTCCAAAATTTCTTCAAAAGTTTATAGAAATTACCTCCAGTTGCATTTGATTTGGTTGTTTGTTCTGAATTTGAATCAATTGATTTACGAGGAGCCACCTGATTTTCTGCATTGTCAATTGCTTCTTTTGCATTGTCAATTAATTCTTCTGCTTCGTTAATTTGAATACCTCTAGTGCGTGGATTGTTATTATCGTCAAAAATTGGAACAAATTCATCTCCAAAACTCTTAGTTTCTTCTTCTTCTATAATTGATCGATTTAAATCGATTTCAAAATAAGAATTCGAGTTCTCAAGGTCACCTAACAATGGAGTTTCAATTTGCTTCTGTTTTTGTAACAATTCGTGGATGAGGTTACTGCAATTTGAGGTATCGAAGTTTGATAATG